TTCTCGAACACTAACGCGCTGGTCCGGCTGGTCGGTTCTAGCCGATTCTAGCTTGATGGCGTCAGCGGCAATTTGGTACCATATTTCACCCGCATATTGAAACAAGAATCTGTAGCTGATTTAAAATATAATCAATATAATATATATCATACCTAACCTAACCTCTCTAATTTAGGACTCCTGCTTTCTCACTCACCTCCCTGTCTAGCTCTAAACTCGTTGTCGTACAAGTGCCAAGCAGCCGCATGAGCCATCAAATGGTGTTTAGCACATATATAGTTATCTATCCCTTCTCTGAGACCTCCAGAAATGAAACCCACTGTACAGTCTATGTATGGTTCATTGATAGTAAACCAGTGCTTGACGTCATCGCCGAAACTTTCGAAACACACCCTAGCATAGTCTTCGAACCACTTAGGGAAGAGCGGGTTCAAAGTTCCCCCTTTGTCCATCAGAACCTGAGGTAGGTCTTGATGGTAAAGAGTGACCATCGGTTGGATTTGGTTGTTCTTGAGTTCCCGGATGAGGTTTTTGTAGTGGTTGACTCCAATTTCGTTGACTTCGTCAGCAAACCCTAAAAAAGTTTCAGTTGTTGAACGAGGCTGTNGCAACTGGAATCAATGAAGTCGCCCCGGAGCACCAATTAATTTTTATTGTTGTTTTTATTTTATCTTTATCGTTGTTTTAATAAAATTTACTTCATTTAAGACCTGCGTATATTCAATATGCCTGAAGCATTGTCGAAACAGTCTCAACAAATAGTGGCGTTTTTAATAGACTACTTTGAAAGAAAACGCGAAAATGGAGGACCTTTACTTCCACTAACTGCTGTTAGAGACGTAAGTTATATTAAACGTATTACTTACCTATCCTACATCTATCAGGAATAAATAAAAATTATACAGCGAATATATAAATCTTGGGTTAGTTTAAATATTTTTCGATTTCAGAGGGTTGCAGATACCTTGAAGTTGAGTATTACTACTGTAAACCGTATTGCGACTAAATCTAATAGAGGTGAAGTATTCAGCATTCCATTGAAACAGCGAAAACCGGTGAAACCAGTGGTAGATATTGATGATTTCGATCAAACCACTATTCGAAATGTGATCTATGATATGTATAAAGCCAGTAAGTATTTTGTATTGATTTATTTAATATAGAATACTAGTACTATGTTGATGTATTGCTGCTGTTCCAACGCTTTGATAGAATCAGAATCAACGAACTTGGGCGTGCGCAGAGTTATAGAACAGTGCTTCAAAATATTGTTCTACAGCGCCATCTAGTGGCGAGTTACAGAAAAATTGATAGCCTAAAAACCTTCTCTATGAAAAATTACTTAAACATGTCAAGTTTCATCAAGATCGGCTGAGCGATGTAGAAGTTTGTCACTTACCAAACAACCAACCAACCAACCAACAAACATCCATTTTTATATATTAGATTAATGTCCGGAATTACCTATTTCGACCAATTAGTGTGTGTATAAACACTTTTGATTGTTTTTTTTTCATCAAGAGCACTCTCATTTCAAGGAATAAATAAAAGGTGTTTCCTAATTTCTAATATAAAGGGGGTTGAAGTTTTGAAATATGAAATATCATGAATATCTTTACATCGATTTGGTTGAAATTGGCTACAGTTAATGAGGCGCTTATTTAGCCCGAACTAGATTGAAATAAGAACGCCGCTGACTTTTTTGACACATGAAATAAAAATCAAAATTGAATAATAAACAATTTCGAAGTAAATGAGCAAAATGTCCACGATTATCTGATACCTGGAGTATAATGACATTGCAATTGTCAATTATTCGATTCCTCAAGTCATCCACATCTAGTACAGGAGTTTTATAAACAAGGGCCTCCTCTGTTGAGATATCTGTCCTGGTAAATTCTCTTTGCTTCTTCCGAATTTCGTTTTGCAAATCCACAAATAAAGTGCATGTCAGCCATTTCAGCGTTAGTAAATGTATTCGTGATGGAATCACTGCCAATTAGCAACTCTGACTTTCACTGATATGACAACACTATTACTTTCAGCTGGTCTCCAAAGTGGGTGTTCATGATATGCAAAGTGGCTTCATTTTTTTTCTCGAAAACAAAGCTAGATATGAAGAAGACAAAAGCGACGAAAAAGGGTAAATTTTTGTTTTGTGGACACCCGGCGATTTTGAAAAAAATTTTAGACTGTACTTACGTATTTTGATGCGTAGATTACGAATCCGAAAGAAAAAAGCGGCGCTCTCCCTTATTTAGGCTTACGTAAATCCTGATGCCCACTCAAAATTGTCAAGTAAACTCCAAAGAGTGTATCCGATTACTTTGACGCCGTCTTTTTCCATAGCGTCTCTTATGTTACTCAAGTATTCCTGTAACAATTTTGACAATCATTGATTTCAGCCATGATGACTATTTATGATTGATTGAAAACTCTTTCAAACTGTTAATATTCATTCAAAATGTTGTATTCCTTACCTTGATATAATTCTCTCTAACATCATCATCCAATTGTCCAGTACCATCTGCCCATCCGTTTTCTGTTATTAATATGTCCGGATTGAAATACTCATCTTTAAACCATTTCAGCAGCTTTCTTGTACCCCAGGGAACAAACTGTGGATTATTTCAATTCGATTAGATTCTTAGGTAGGTATACACTCAGACAGATTCCAATTTTATATCAATCGGTTCAAATATTTCCATTCTGTAGATGAAAATTTGCATTGGTCCTGAAATGGTACCTTGGGGAGTATCGAAATTGAAGTGATGACAATTTGTAGACTGGAAGTGGTACTGATACTGAATAACGAAGTTGAATAACATTGTGTTGTGTAGTTTTAAATTTCAATAGTAAATATATTGCACCTCAGTTACAAAATTTCAATATCTGGACCGTTTTTTGATGCTTGCTGTTTGACGTTGACAAGTAGTGCAGTTTTCATTAAATTCTAGTTACTCTAAGAACTAAATTAGTGGCGACTGTCATCTATCTGTTCAATCGTTGAAAATTATTCTGTATGAAATTCAGTGTATTAAAAATAAATCGCGAGACGGTTGACTGGAAAAACTCTGACCAAATTGTGAATAACTGAGAAATACATGAATTTGATTCATTGTTACACTAATTATTACATCAGTCGGATGTATGAAGCCCAATACAAAACATTCAAACCCTAGATTGGCTATTTTCTTCTGGCGTGACTATTATTATTGAAAATATACCCTCAAGCGTTTAATAAGTGAATCTTATTCTGTTTCTATGCGAACACGATGATATGGAGTTCTCTCTCTCTCTAAATTATATGGCCGTTGCTTCTCAATCGAAGGCATTTGGCCAGACTCCCAGACTCCCCCAGTCCATAATTAAAGAAGCTTCGTCTGGGGGCGCAGCTGTCTTGCTTGAGGCAATGTTGCCACCTTAAGTTTCTCATTCTCTTTTATAAAAACATTTCCATTTTTTACCGGTCGCACTCTGCTCGGGAGGCCTTCAGATAAAATATAACATTATTGAACTGACGAAGTCGTCGAATCCGTCGACATCCAGCCTGGTTACTGGCGTAGTGAATCGCTAGTCCTTTCAAATTGTCTTTCACTTCAATATTCATTCAAACTTGACTTTAGAATACATCTCACTTTTAGAATGGTCGTTATCAGCATAACCGTCCTCTGTCGCGATCGGAGAGAAAGCATAGGTAACAATTAGCATAGACACTTGGCCATGCCGCCTTTGATGTGGAAAAGTATCTAGACGCCATTTTGGGAAGTGACGATAAGAGGGCAGGACTCGCGAAATGGTTTTGGACAGGTTCGCACTCAAACTTTTTTATATCCAAAATGCTCATATAATTTTGATATACCTTACGGAATGGACCCAAATTCAATTGATATAATAATTCTTTTGTAGACATTCTAATTTCGGGCATGGTGATGTGCACCTAAAGAATTTTAAAAGAAGACTTCAGAAAATACATACAAAAAACTGTCATAAAAGAAAATGAGTGAACTGATTGATTTTCAATGGCATCACACATATGCAGTGTGTGAAAGCCAAATAGAATAAATTATTTATTTCGGTTACTGTCCATATTTTTCAAAAAATCCCGAAACACACCAAATGTAAATTAAAATTTGACATTCTTCAACGTAAAAATGCCACCCTTACGAACCCCCTTCTGACAGGTACTTCTGACATATACTTCCCAATATCAATCATCGCTGAAATAAGTCAGTGAAACAGACTATAAAATTCTGTGTATGTCGACGTTTCGGTCTTTTATTTCGTCATCCTCAGTGCAGTTAAATTATTATGGAGGAAACAGTAACATTGTGGTTTCAGAGTTAAAAACATTGATGATATGAATAAAGAAAGCTATACGTGACATTTCAAATACTGAAACTGTCACAGATACCACACCAGGTGAATAGTTCATGCACTGAACTCACCAACAAATTAGATTTTTTATGAAAGGTACATTAAAATAATTTTCTGGATATAATTGAGAGGCGGATAACTCATTTGAAAAAGTGAGATTTGATTCACTTCGTCTAAGTTCTTAGAAGCACCTTTTAGACAAACAGTTAACGCTTGTTTGTCTCGAGAATAATTCAGCGTAGGCTATAGTGAGCAGAGAATTTACTTAAAAATAAATTCATCAACTGATATGAATGAATAATAATGATTATGAATAATATTTACTGACATTGTTTTCATTACTGTAAGCAGTTTTTATTGTGTTTTTGTTCGTTAGGGTGTTGTGATCGAGTATCCGTTATATTCATTGACTAGTTCGTGTGGGTAGCTATTTTTGAGTAAGAATGTTTTAATAACTTCTGAGTTTTTTGTGGTAGATCGGATGGAAGTTGTGGATTACATTTATTTTTTGTGAGAATGCACTGTGTCAATTTGATCTTTTGGAACTGCAGTTAAAATATCATGTATATTTTTCAAACGGTACGCTCTAAAAAATATGATTACAAAAAAAACTGAGCAAAGCTCGGTTATTCAGGTACTAACATAACATAACCCTCTAGTTATAGATAATTTATGAAATGATGTTTCAAAATTTCAAAGTTTAAAAATGTCCTCCACAAATATGATATCCCCTATGTAGTCTTTCAGGTTTATTAGTTAAATCGTCTCGTCCACATGCCATTGCCCAAATTCGAGCCCTAAAATTAATTAAATGCTTTAATGAAATCACATAATGTTAATTGGCAAATATATTATTGATGCACGTTAGAAATGAAATTTCTTTATTCAATGGAATAGAAAGCCATACATATGGTCTATAAAATTGTAAATGGCTATGAAAAATATATTTCTCTCACAGCACCTTCTGTGAAAAGCATTATTTGAGAGATTTACCGCAAAGAAGTCGTTCGTTCCTTTGATGTAGGCGATTTCTTCCTGCGTTAACTCTGGCAGTCGAGATTCATTGAATCCCTCTAGCTTGCTTCTCATGGCTATTCTGGTTTTCATTATATCGGGCCAATCCCCATAGTAGATAGGGTGGCCAAACCAGCCCCACTGCAATAATGATATTTCAGTCAGGAGACTTTTGTACTATAGTAATATTGTTGTTTTATCTAGGAAGCAACCAGTTCAATTTGAATTCAATATTTTGTTCTAGAAGTCAAAGTTTGTCACTCACTATAAACTGCATTCTAGTCGCAGCAGCCGTCACGTCTTCAGCACTGTGTGACGCAGGTTCCATCCAATCAGAGTTCAAAACTAGTGCGATCTTTCCTGAAATAAGAGAAGGAGTAAAGCAAGCATCATTAGTTTTTACGGTTAGTTTAGTTTATTTTCGGTTTGTGAAATTATAAAACAACAATGAAAATTAATTGGCGCTCCGGGGCGACTCCATTGATTCTAGTGGCGCATTTGCTTTTTCAGCTGCAGGAACACTCGGAAAAACCTGCAGTACCACATCATGTGAAGATCTTGATCTGTCAATGTCGTCTCTCCCATAGGGTGTCTCCAGAGGCTCCAATAGATTCAATGCATCGCCAGAACACTTCGTGACAGGACTATCGTCAAACCTAAACCAGTCCGTTTCGTCTTTGACCAATGCCAATGCGTAATAATGACCAGATTGAACGCCAGAACTGCAGTGAATATTGACTGAATGAATACGATTATAACATTTACCACAAAGTAAACAAGTGAAGATTTTTCCAGCAAAATATTTACACACACAAGACGAGATAGACTATATGGAATTATCCAAACCAGAGCGGTCAGGAGTATTGATTCTGTTATTGTTTTGTCCATGAAGAGTATTCAACAAGAACCCCAAGAATTCAGAACAATCCTCTTGTTGTCCTAACGAGTATCTTGTGGACTTCAAAGACTCCAGGAAATCAGTTGGAGGGAAAGATGATGCATTCTTACGAAACTGCAGCTGCATGAACAGGTGTTTGAGTTTGGTGAAAGTAGGAAACTTTCTCGTTCTCGTTCATCATTAAAACCTCGTTCGAAAAATCACCGAAACAGAAATCTTCTCTGAAATGTGGATAGTATAAGGACTAATAGATTGCTGCCGTTTCGTCTATTTCTGCAGTGCTCGAGTTGTTGCCAACGCAGAAACTACTATGTTGTCTCCGGTTCAGTATCATCATTGGTGAGCGTGGCTCCGTTTCTTTCAACTGAATTACTTGACTTGGTGTACAATTACTCAAACTGTGTAATCCGTGTGTAACCCAAACTTTCCCCTCAGATCCTCATTCAGCGAGGAAAACATCATCAACTCTACCTACCACGGTAGAAATACTGCCCCAGGCTCTGACTCAGTGAACCGTCGAGTTCTGAGAAACCTCTCCTACTTCCTAACCACCTGGAAAAAGGCTAGCACGATCATGCTCCCGAAACAACAAAAAACCACACCAAACTCGACTCCTACAGACTCATCAGTCTACTTACTTGCCTCGGCAAGCTACTTGAGTGACTAATGACCAACAGGCTTAACGACTTCCCTCACGAAAACAACAAAATCCCCCCACACCAACATGGGTTCAGACCTGAATACTCCACCTATCACGAGGGGATTTTTTCGGGAGATGGGGTTGGTTACCACCCTTACATTTTAGGTAAATTGAGTGGCACCTCCTTATGAAGGTTGCCTTTTGACGTGGATATTTTATGCTTCTGATAAAAAAGTGAATCATACTAAAAACTTACCNAAAAAAGTGAAAAAAAAAATAAAATAAAGTAATAAGTCAATCAGAAGAAAATAATCAGAAAAAAATTTTTACACTCCATTATAATTATGTTATCTGTACGAGAAGGAACAACAAAACGGTGTTTTTATGGAATATGTAAAAGTAATACACGATACAAATCATTCAAAACCAACACATACTATTTCATAAATTTTCCAAAGTCTTGTCTTGAATATCGTAAAAAAATGATCAAATCATCAAGCAAATTACCTACATATTAAAGCATGTGCAAAATGTGCGAAATGTGAATTATAGGTGAAAAAATGTGGCAGGAGTGACCGAGGGCTTAAATCTATTGATGATGTTACCAAGGATACTTATATTTGCTCACTACATTTCATTGGAGAAAGTGGTCCAACTGAACAAAACCCTGATCATTTAAGCCAGTGGTCGCCAACCTCTTCAATGTGTTGAGCTACTTGTTTTGGAATAAACAGCGAGCTACCCACACGGAAGCCACGTAACGCAACGTTTACTTACAATAGGCCAGATACAGTCACTACTTGAGACTAACGATTTTAAGGCTAAATCATTTTGAAACTCAATGACTTCCATTTCTGATGCAGCGATGTCTTCGCCAAAGTTCTGCATATCAATTTCCATAAAGGGTGAAACAACAAACTACGCTACTAAAGCCATTTCATTGAAATCCTTAAAACGATTTTTGAAGTTATTCTTCAGGGTAGAAATTATTTCTACATGATATTTGTTGTCATAGGGTTCTAATGGATTTTGAGATATTTTTTCTGAAAGAATAGGAAAATGCTTGGCATCGCTGTTAATTAGGTTTTGTTCCCAAAACTCCAGCTTTTTGATAAATGCTTTTATATCAGAAATCATTTCCGCTAGTTCTTTGTCTCTCCCCTGAAGCTGCAAATTAAGTTCGTTTAAT